CTTCGGACCATCGATGAAGTGGCGGCAGAGGACAACGGAGGTGGCGGGCACGGATGTGTCAGAGCCTGTGCTCGTGTCATTTTCTGGCACATAAGTGCAGACAGCGAATTGGGGCCATAAGAAGGTAGAGGTGGCTGCTGGAGAGCATCTGGAGAAGCTTTAGGAGAGCACCAGGGAGAGGTCCTGCTGCCTGTCCCCTGCCTTTCCCTGGCTCTCCTCTTGCTTTACACCAGCGATGAGGCACTGCAATGTCCCGCCGGTGCAGCAGGACCATGGGGCTCCACAACTGCCCTGTTGGGGTGCGGGGCTGGGGGATGCCACCTCGGGTGTACCCCAGCGCGGAGCCCACCCTCCTTGCCCACGGGAGCTTCATTTCATCTCGTGCCCCTTCGCTCACTCTCTTCCCACCCACAGCTCACCTTCATGATTGCCGCCACCTACAACTTCGCCGTCCTCAAGCTGATGGGCCGAGGCACCAAGTTCTAGCCCGTGTGGTGGAGCCCAGCCAGACAAACGCCCTTCTTTTCTCTAACCCCGAGGCTTTAACACTGCAGCCACCCGACACCAGGTCTCCTTCGTTAACTCTGCCTCCGCCGCTGACTCCCCTCCTCTTCCTCCCTCGCATCCATCCCGCTGAGCGTGACCAGGAAGGAGAGCTTCCCACCAATGGACGTCTCTTCATGCACTTTTCTCTCTCTGCTCATCCGTAACCGGTTCGCTCTAGGGGCCCATCAAAACCAGCCAGAGAAGAGGAGGGACTTACTCCAGTGTCCCGATGTTGCCTAGGGATGAGCAAAGGCCTTCATGCTCTTGGGAGGAGGAAATCTGTGTAGGTTGCTCCATGAGTAGCAAGAGGCTACCTAGAGAGAAAAGGAAGTTGGCCCAGTCCTGGTACCATTGCTAGAGACTCTCCTGGAGCTGTCTGCTGTCACCACCCGTGGATGGAGAGTAAGAGAAGGATTTTTATTTTTCCCTTAGCAAAGAAAGATGAACTTACCCCAAATTACCTGCTGCAGCCAAGGCAAAGGGAGTTCAGGGCAAGGATCTTCCCACTGCGGAGAAGAGAGTGCTGACCCCAATGCTAATAAAGCCCTAACCCAGCTGCTCCTATTAAAGCCTAAAGGAGTTTGGTGTCTCTGTAGACAAGGGGGACTCTTGGCTTTACCCTCCAGGCAGCGGAGAGGCGGCAGATAGGTTTGACTGAGGGGACATCTCCGTGCTATGCCCTGGGAGCGTAAAGCCAGAGCCGTCCCTCCGCAGGCAGGGGAGAACCCTCCGGACTGCGCCCTGCCGCACGCTCCCGTCCCTCACAATGGTGACAATGGTGCTCTTCTCTGGGGTGATGTCTGCTTTCTAACCTCCGCTGCGTCGGAGAGCTTGGTTTGTTCCTCACCCATGTCAAACCTAACTTTTCCCTTGTTCTGTCCCCTTCTTCCCCTGTGTTTCCTGCAAGTCAGGACGACTGTCTTGTGCCTGCCAGGGCGGGAGGGACTGGCAGCATCTCGCTGAAACCCATGGAGGAGCTGAGGAGGGAAGGAAAGGCGGCTGTTTGGGGGTCATGGGGTGGAAACACGTCTCTGCAACCTACATGCCTCTGGTGCCAGTTCAGTGCTTTCCCGTGGAGCAGGGCAGCAGGGCGAGGGCTTTGGTGGAGACAACCTCTCCCCCATGGCAGCTGGAGGAAAGCCCTCTGAGCGGGTAGCATGGGGCCCGCCAGTCCCCCCAAAGCGCCGTTTGCAGTCCTCCCCGCCAGCTGGCGTTTTGTTTTGCTCTTCCCCACCTCTCCTTAACGCTAACCTTTGTGTTAATTTATTGGAGAAACTCCTTTCAGTGGCAGACTGTAGCTCCATCTCGCATGGATTTGTTTTTTATTTTGGTCTGTAGTAATAGTATATTTTTGTTAAGAGCTGGTTTCAGCAGGGGCAAGGATAAAGGAGCAGATCTGCTGAGCAGAGCATTCTGAAGGATCCTTGCTGCTGGGAACGCTGAAATAGGTTGGCCAGGCTAGCAACGCACAGGGGCTGGGGAGGGGGGAGATGCCGGGAGGGATGGCAGGGTGGGTTGAAACCCGGATCCGGAAATTCACATCAATGCCATCTCTCTTGGGGGTTTGCCGGGGTTTTTTTGGTATCCATTTAACAGAAATAACCAGATCCTCCTTCCCACCCTTGTCTCCAGACCCCAAACACACACACACAAACACACGTGCACACAAGGGCACACACACACGCACGCAAAAAGAGTTAATCGACTGAAAGTGTTTCCTTCATTTCTGATCTAGAATTTCAACTTGTTAACAAGCAATAAAAAGGAGCAAGTTTTTAGAGACTTATCTTACAAGGTGTATTTTATAAAAATTAAAGAAAATAAATTAAAATTAAGATCATTCTGAACAAGGTATATGTCTGTCTGTCCATCTGTCATGCTGCCTTTCCCACCTTTCACCAAAGGAAAAAGGAGGGAAGGGGTGGCTGCAGACGAGAAGCTCCCAGAGGAGCAGCACTCAGTGCCCACAGGACTCATTCCCATCCCAGACATTAGGTTCATAACCCTGCCTTTAAAATTCGTTCCCAACTGGAGAGCCCTTAAAACCTCTCTTTGTCCTCCAGCCACCCAGAGGAAAGCTGGAGTCTTGTAGGAGCCGCTTGCTTGTGTTTGGTGATGTGATACCCAGCCGACGTGGTGACAGCATCTCCTAATGTAGCACCTACAGCATAACCACAGCAAAACCCATCGGCATGGCTCGAGCAGGCAACGCACGTGGTGCAACAACACGAGAGCCACGCAGAATGAGCTGTTCTCTCACTTGCACAGAGCCCTGTGTGAAATAGGACCGTCTCGTTCAGGCGTGAGGGCGGACTTCATTGCAGGGCCCTACGTGTCCTGTCCACGCGCTCTGTGGGTGGTTGCGTGCCATTAGCTGTAGGGTCACTAACAGTTTGCACAGTGCTGGTGCACGGGGAGGTCATCGCCTGGTGTGTCTCTGCCCTGACTGAACACTACCCTGAGATGTGCGTTTCCACAGCAGTTGGTCAACAATTATTGATTCAAATGTTGCTTCTGTTGGAAATTCCCCCCCAGGAACAGCACTAAGAAGCATCCAGGGGAGCGAGGCCATGGAGGGATGCTCCCAACCCCATGTTTTAAACCCCCGCACTGCTCCCAAGAGGCAGATTTCGGGCATGGGTAGGTGCCTGTAGAGCAGCAGGGCAGGCTGAGCACCAGCAGGCTGTTACCTACCCATGGCCAGGACCCTCAGCGCTCTTCCTAAATGGGACTCTAGCCCAAATCCCACTCTGTCCCCCCCTGCAGCCTGGCCAGGGGAGGTTTAGCTCATGCATTGCTGCTGCCCCAGCCCAGTGCACCACTATGGCTGTACCCCAGCCTTGCCCCAGCTCACAGAAACCCGTAGGGCTGCAGCCAGCATCAATGGGGCCCTTTATTCCTGCGTTCCCAGATGCCATCACTCTCCTCTCCCCATGCTGAAAGGGCTCTGTGTGTGCACAATCAGCCGCTGGGCAGGAGCGAGCCAGGGAACAAAACACCATCTCTTTCCCCTGGCAGAGGCTGGTGCCCCCCGGCCGGGGTGAGGGCTGGGGACAGCAGCACGAGGTAGTATGTGAAGGCACCAGGACACTGGGCAAGTCCTAAGGCCAAAGGACACATACAGGCTCTTGCGGGGTGTGCCTTTGGCAGTGTCCTGCTGCCACCCCACCTGGAGACGTGGGACCTGCCCTCGCATCTCCTGCCCCGGGCACCCAGAGCCCTCTAGGAACGGGGTGAGAAAGGACAGGGCATAAACCCTGCCTCGTACCAGACCTCATCTCTGTAAACCACGAGAGCTCCGAGGAGCGCAGCCGGCGCAAACACTGTCCCCATCGAGTGGCTGAAACGTGGCTGCAGGGTCACTCCCACAAGGGCTGGACCAGAGAGAGGGACCGTGGAGCAGGTCCCGCTGGCTGCCCTGCCCTCAGCCCTTCATCCCATGCCCTGCGCTCCGGCCCTGTGCCGCTGACAGCAAGAGAGCCCTTGGGAGAGTGAAGGCAGGAACCTGGGATGAACAGGGAAAGGCGAGGGGAGCGCGGCACCCCAGGGTGCTCGGGTAGGGGCGGC